TTTTCAAATTGTGCTCATCAGGTTGTCAAGATTTTAAGAAGTGTTTGTGATCACAATAGATGACCCATGATTCTCTTTATTCACTTAATCACTTTCTTAGTAGTTGGAAGTAAGCCATACTGAAAAACAGTGCAGAAGGATTTGACATTCATTACTCCAAGATGCTGAATTGACAGAGGATGAGTTTTTCTTTAGGCGGTTGGCTGTGTGTGTGTGTGTGTGTGTGAGAGAGAGAGAGAGAGATATCATATGTCATATAACCAAGACTCATCGTTCTACTAACTTGCCTGTCTGGATTTTTTGGGACGGGTGTGTGGTATAATTTGAAGAGTTTTGCAGTCAAACATCTTTAAGTAAAAACCTCATCTCTGTCATCTCATCTTCTACCTGGTTTACCCTGGGAAAGTTATTACATCTTTTGAATCTCAGCGTATTAGCTGTGAAATGGACATGATGGTGTTTCCCTTGTGGGAAATTTGTAACCGTCGTGTGTGGCATATAATAGATACTTTGAACTTTAGTTCCTTTTCCCTTGATTACTAGTTTAGAAGATCAACAAATGCTTAACCACCTTTGTATCAAGCCCTTAAACATGCAATGAAAAGGCTATTTAATGTTATTTAGTGTAAGCTACTCTAGATTTAGTCACAGAAAAACATGTTTAGCACCAGTTAGTGTGACCTGCAAATTGACAGCCCTGTGTAGGGTTTCAAGGAGATTAGCTCACAATATCTTTCTTCAAGTAGTTTGCACTCTGGCATTTGTATTTTGCTCCTAACTTCAGGTCTGTTTGGAACATTGTTTTTTAAGATGTAAGTTTTCATTAGAAAAATTACCAATTCTTACCATTGTTCTTAATTCTAAATTTCTAGGATATTTAAAGGCTTCTCAAAGGTACATGTTCCTTTAGATTTCGCTGTTGTGTGTTCAGCAAGATAGTTGCATGCTTGTGCTTCTATTATGAAGGCATGAAAGGGGCAGGCGTCTTTGGAGTAATGAGTTTATTTTACAGCCACTTTTTTTTTTTCTTTTTGGCCTGGAAATCAAGTGGTTTGCTTTGGTTCTGTCATTTTTTGTGGGATGATAGTAGGGGTTGTTTCCTTCCATATTTCTTCCCTTCCCTCCTTTCCTTCCTTTTTTCCTTCTTTTCTTTTTTCCTTTCTTTCCTCAGTTAAGCAGAGCAAAGTGTAAACATGTTGTTCAATCTATTTCTGAATCACTCGCAAGCAGTTAATTTTGAGGACTGAAAATTAAAACTAACCACAGCAGTTGTTAAAACTAGGGTTTCCATAGGCAGAAATCCAATTCTGTTCAGACACCATCTGTTTCAATAGGACATTTCAGACGCCCATTTGGCAAGGTTTGTTGAAGAAGACATGGGGAACATGCTTTCAGTCTGCATTAAGTCGCAGCATAATGCAGTTCTGTTTCTCAGAGTGACAGTTACATTATATATGATCTGTTTTTGCAAGGAATAAATTGGAATCTTTTTAAAACACTGCTTATCGTGAAATGGAATTCAAGTCTACAGTAGACCCCCAACAAGGGGTTTTGGTTACTAAAGTGCCAAAGGACTCTTATGATAAGGAACTTTCACTAATGCAATTGTGTCTAGCTATCTGAACATTATATTGCAAGGTTCTAGAATGAATCTTGTGTAGGGTGGTTTAATTTTTCCTTCTGTAGGGGAGTTCAGAACACTTCTCCTAACTTCTAAACTGTCAGATCACATTCTTCTCCCCCTCCCCGTTTTTTTTTTTTTTTTGTTCTTTGAACAGGTAAATAAATACAGGGTACAAAATGACATACAGGGAAAGATGAGTCTCCCACCAGACCACCAATGGTGCTGTAGTGACTAACCTTGTA